AACCTTCGCAGCCTGAGATTTGCACTAATAATTTCTTGAAAATTTTCGTGTTAGAGTATTTATATTAATATTTCGAGAAAAGAATGTCTATCAGTAGCGAAGCAGAAGCAAAAATAATGAGTACATTACCAAATAAACATTACATTATACACTTCATACTACTTTCTCCTTAGAAAGGCGCACATGTCACTATATAGCGTAGCACATCATTCTTGGTTAAAGAATTCATTTCTGTATCAATAGGATAATGCATTTTCGAAAAATAAAATAAAAATATCTTTCACTCGCTTCATATATATATAATATATATGTATATATAAACATTAATGAGAAATATAACATCTACAGAAAAAAAAAATCTTTAAGGGAAAAGGTAGCTTTTTTATGCTGCAAAACGTGACTCATGGAGAAGGAATTGCAGTAATTTGACAAAAGTCTTCGGCTCTATACAGTCCAATTATTCTAACAACACAAACGGCCCCAAACTCAAAAAGCAATAAAGAGGTTTTGCATTATATCCTTACAGAGCTTTTTCCCAAGGATCTGGAAAATGTTAAGGTGCATAATTTTTTTTATGCTCTTACGTATTGTGCTAACAATGTAACTATAATGTAGTTAGAATAATAATTTGTCTAGTGTTTCTGCGCATTTTGAACTTTGTCGAACGGTGCAGATTAATTATTGGTTTGTAGACAATGAATGGTTATGTTTTGGCTACTGCGTCAATTCTAGGCCTCTTAGGATGGTACTAATGCAATCTTTCAATACCTTCATCGCGACTTTCTTAGGTTTAATTACACATTAACTATCCCCGAACTGAGATGTATTATCATTATAACTATTGTGAGATAAATTGTGACTGGGGTATGTATTAACAGCCTAAGTATGAGGCATAGTTTTATGCTGCATCCACTGTAAAATTGTCCGTAGGTACTATTAAATTAAATTGTATTAAAATGTTGCAGTACATAAGGTGCTTAGATCGGCAATGGCTTTACGTTCATATCGTGACTATTTCTTTGACGATTGATAACAGAAAGGAATGAGGTGGAATGTGAGCTATTGGATAGTTTACAGTATTATGATTAAGCCTGAAGATTTCAAGTCACTCAGTTTATTCAGTATCGGGGTACGGCTAGTACTTATGTAAATTTTTTAATCTACGTTTACCAAACATAGTTGATTACATTAGACTCAGATTTTCTTAAGAGAATTAGACTGTTACCTGTCAATACTGGTTCTTTGCTGTAGAGTAATTTAAGGTTATTATGTCTTTGGCTCATTTAACTCGAGCAACACTTCAGCAGTTCAATACTCTCCATTAAGATTAGTACGGTTTTGCATCTATGATTATGTAAAGTTTTCCTTGTGTATGTTACTAAGCGGATGTTTCCTGTGTTACTAAGCGGATGTTTCATGTGCTTGTTACTAATATGTAAAGATCTTCTATGTATGTTACTAAGCGAAGTCGAAAATTGGCTAAATAGCTTTCTTAATTTAGATGACACGGATTCAGATACCATCTTAAGTAGACTTGCACTCAACTTACTCATCTTCTTTTGCTTATCAAAAAATGCTTTGCCGCATCATTTGGCAGGACTTCCTTTAAATTAGTCGAATAAGTACCAGACAGAGAATGATGATTGAAGCTAGGAACTAAGTGAATAATTTGTTTTAGACATGACCACAGGCAGTCTACTCTGCCTGGCCCCCAGAAGTGGCGTAGCGGAGAGTAGACAGCTTCTTCGGAGAGGATATTATGCTGTGAGGCTTTGAATAGCTTGAGGATCAGCAGTCATCTTCTGCAGTGCAACTTTAACGGTGTTTAACAAGAGCATAGGAAACCGTAATAAACCCTCTGGTGTGACGATAATATCTGAATAATTTCAGATTTTCTTTTGTTTTAAATTTTTATTTTATTTTATTTATTTATTTTATCTTTACATCATCTGTGTCGGAAATACCGTTCCAGGAAAATGTTTTTAAGTAAAATAATAATTCAGAAAAGGATTAGATGCAGAAAAAAATAAATTTACATACACAGACCAAAAATTCATTCGGGACCAAAAATGGCTTATTTTTTTAGTTGGAGAAAATTGTTCTTGCAGAAATGACAGATCGAATTTTTACTGTAATTAGTAAGAAAACTCTTCTAATGTTACCCACTCTTAAGAAACATTTCTTACTTTATGAAAAAATGTACATGGATTTAGCATGCGTTTGCTGCTGAATGTAATCAGAAATTTTCTATTAGCAAGGATAATTTGTGATGCACATCAAAATTACATGAATGCGCATAAATTTATATCTACACCAAGAAAAGAAATCTTTTAGCATGTGAAACAGTACAATGCATGTGAAACAGTACAATTTCCTGCAGGACGTGTCTGAGGAATAGCTTTCTAACACCTAACAAAAATCAAGAAACATGCTGGGCCTTGATATTTTTTTCTTTTCTTATTGCAAGTTGTATGAAGTACATGCTCATCCTGCTCATTCGCCATTCTTACAGAATGGATAAAGAAACAAGCTAGGTTGGAATGCATATAGTGAGATTTCAAAGACATTGCATCTCATGGCTCTTCAGGATTTCAAAAGATCGTTTTCGTTTTAATAAATATTTCTTCTGTAGTTCTACACAAATTCCTTTGCAAATATTATTTGATGACAGCCATGGGGCTTCTTTGCCTGCCTCTTTGCAGACGGAATTTCTGGTTTATAACATATTTTTCTAATTTACGCTACCATAAAATGCCATCGTAGATTGTGACATATCTTTCGTTATGGAAACCGTTTCTCAGCTAGGTGAATCCTAACCTGTTGTATGTGATTGCCTTAATAAATTTATAACTTAAATACTAGTTTAATGTGGAATGGAGGAAAATGTAAGACTGACAAGTGGGTAATAATATATTCCTATTTTTGTTTTCCGATGACACTGGTCGAGGTTAATTGTTTTGAGCAAGATGATTTTCCACACCTCTTCTATCTTATCCTTAAAAGAACAGCTATATTTTATATCGTATTGTCATCAGTACGAAGACAGCAATTATTTTAAAATTATCACATATATTTGAGTTATATTTTAGCATAGGATAATTTGTAGAACTTTTGTCAGCTTTTAATGGACTTCCTTCATATTGTTAGCGCAAACTAATGGTATTGATGACAGTCTGGTTCTTTTATTAAAGAGTTTGTTGTAATAAAATGGAAACCAATAATGGAGTTTGAAAACCGAAACGAAGTATGAAAATAAATTATAAAAGGAGCAAAAATATGAAGTTTCGTAGCAATTTTAGCTTTAGTGTGCTTATGCTTATAGTTTAATTTTAATTTATTCACATTTTCTCAGGAAGAAATTAATAGTGTTAACTAAAAGTCATGCACATATTGGAATGTGATTAGTAAGTTTCCGAGTGTGTGTATGAAGCTTGTATAGATGAATGGTATATAAAACAAAGTTGAAACAAAGAAAAATCTATGAAATAATATATCTATGATTTATTCTATATAAAGTAAAAGCTATGATTAATTCATTATTGACCAATGATGCTGTACAGTACAGAAATGAAGAGATTAAAAAAAATAAAAAATTGTAAACTCTTTCAGTAACAGTTCCTGAAACAATTATTATAAATTAAATTAAATTTATGGATTTGGATCAATGTACATTGACCTTGAACATTGTACATTGAAGTACTTGAACAATATACACTGAATCCTTTCAGGCTTCCGGCAGCCTGTAAGGAAATCTGATTGACTAGCTGAAGATTTCGTGGATAAATTTAAAAGAATGAAGTTAAAAGAACGCTTCAGTAATTACCAACGTGTATACATGGAATATTGTTTTCTGGATTTTTATTATGGGCGTATGATATGTGTGCTTTAAAGGAGGAAAATAACTTTCTTTGCCTGGCTGGTATATATAGTTATCCTGCAGACGAGACAAAACGGCTGTTGTTTAGTTGGTATATAAGTTCTTTTGAGGAAAAATATCGCGAATTCCCCAAGAATCAAACTCCAAAATAGAAATTTTAAGAAGAGAATATGAATTCTATACAGGGAAGTAAAACAATTTACAAGCATAATTTCATATTGAAAGCAAACAATTGTTTTTAACTGAACAAAGAATATGACATAACAATAAGATTATTGTGATTGCTTTTAGCGAAAGAATGTTTAATGGCAACGAGAAAAATATTTAAATACTTTGTGAATAACGGAAGAAACAAAGAATTATTTCAGAGCAACAGCTTTTGAATAATTAAAATAGCTAAATGCAAAGAGCAGAAAAATAGTCCAAAGGAACTAAGACGAAAACATTAAACTAGAGAACAAAGTTATTATTCACGATAACTATTTTTGAATGTCTTAGAAACAATGAATCTTTTAAGTGAACATCACTTTTGCTTTTCAAATCACAATGAACAAAACAAAAACAAAAAAGCATAAGATTAATTACTTTTACCTTGACAAATAGTAGTCTCATGTTGCTGATTTTGTTGTAATGGCACATCATATACATTATACAGCAAATAATAATTTGAAATAAAAATTCCCATTTGTACTCCTATATGGGGGTTATAATTTTTTCTATGGATGCAATCATTGCAAAGAGATAAAATATTCCAAAAACTAATCTCGGAACACGTGTAATAGAATATTTCAAATGCTCCGTGTCGATAGAATAATAGATGGCTCAGCAATCTTAAATAAATACATTTTTAGTTTCCTAGTTTGTTTGCTAGCGCCTTCGGCAAACATAACTATAGAAAAATATTTCCAATTTTCTCTATTAAAATGAGATTTGAAATTAAAAATGAAATTCATTGAGCCAGGAAATGTATGGATAATATAAAGGGAATATATTTAGAGAGCCATTGTACTTCATTGGTCTACAAATAAATTAATTTTTCGGTTTTATGCTTCGTGTATGATAAAATGAGATGCTTAGCATATTGGGGGAACATCAAAGAATTTTGAAAAAAAAAATTGTTTACCTGATGTATCCCATAATGTGAAATGAATTCTATAGCCTCCGACGCAGTAGGTTGCTGTGTACCTCTCGAAACCGGTAGGCGTGTATATCTGCAAGAAAAATAAATTTATATTGCACTGCAGAAAGTGAAGGTTAATAATATACTCAAAATTTATCACAATGGCGTTTTAATTTTTATTATGGAATCAATTCAGTGACATTTTGGCGAAAAATTCTATTCTGAAAGGTATTTTAACACTTTAAATCAGGTTTCTCAATGCAATTCATCAGTCTGATCAATTATATGTACTTTCAACACAGTTTTGAAAAAATCTTAATGTAATCAACTTGCTTGTAGAGAAAAGAAGTTTCTTTAAAATGTTTCTTAAAGCAGTTGTACAACAACTTTTAAGGTAATAATAAGGATCAATCTTTTCTTCGCCTTTAACATTTTTTACAGAGGAAAAACGAAAATAAGAAATATAGCATAAAATGAAATTAAATGCGATAAATGGATAATGAATTTGTTTTAATGCTTAGATTGCTTCATGAGTTCTTTTTGAAGCGCCTATGGAAACATTTCTCTTGTATTAATGTTAATAAATCAGCGAATTGAGTTTGAATGTCTACGCGATAGGTAATGAATTTTGTGATTTTTTATGATAAATAAATGCACATTTCTTTTAAATAAAAGTACTCAGTTATAATTTACTTTATTACAATTATTTATATACATTACATACAATTTTGGCAAGCTAACTACAATTTATCTTCTTCTCCTTAAATACAATTTATGTATATATAAGAATGAATAGAAATAAAAATATTAACTAATATATGATAAATGTTTTATGATTCGCGTGCAGTTCCAGTATTACGCATTGAATGTTATTATTTTTTATGTAAAAAAATAGATAATTACTTGCTTACAATAAAATGAGGTTAGAATTAGGCATTTGTCTAAAAGGACTACCGTCTTCACTATAGAGATAGATTACATTCGAAAAAGGAAATAAACGATTATGAATCGAAATCTAGGCGTGTAAACATAGTATATCAAGTTGATGTAGGTATGAAAATTTTAGCAGAAATGTACAGTATCTAAACATTTTTCTACCAATTAAAGAATCTATGTTAAGCGAAGTGAAAATGTAGCCGGAATTACAATATCCGAAAAATTCATTACACGAACTTTTTAAATTTTGAAAATACAAAATTGATTTATCTCAATTATCTTAAAAAGAATAATCTATAACATCTTAATCTCTCTAATATTTTTATATGAATAAGTTGCTTTTCAGTGCAAAATTGCATAAACACATCTTTATATAGGTTAGCTAACAGATATAAAAGCAAACCAAAATCTCTCATTGATCGACCCCATCCTAGTTGGAAAACATCAACTGAACCAATAGTACAATAAAAACTCTTCAGATGGTTTAGGTTTAATTGATTGCGGCAAAGCACAAGGGGACTATCTGCAAAAGTGGAGGGATACCTTCATGGAGGACTTTCTAAGAGAAACTGGTTCGTTATACATGGCTGCCTCGTATCCACGCTATACAGGAGGAGAACTACGAAAACGCCAATGCAGCCAGTTCCGTTAACAGGGAATCTAACCTAGGTCAAATTACCAGGTTTCATCGACTTTACAGTTCGGCCGCTGTAAAGTCGATGAACTATGCCTCGCAACGAAATCAGTAACTATGCCTCGCAAACAGGTGCGCGAACAATATGCGCAGATGTCAGAATTTGCGAAAGGTCGTGTAGTTGGCCCAAAGAAGCCGGCTGGTCTTATCGGCGAATAGCTCGACTTTTGAGCAGGAGCGATGCCACTATTAGAAGATTTTGGCAGGAATGGGTGAACCATGGCCGCACACAGCGTCAAGAAAGAAGCGGTAGGCCTAGAGAAACGACGAAACGTGAAGACCGAGCAATCGTCAAAGCGGCACTCACAGCCCCAGATGCATCATTATCATCGATTGTACGTGCAACTAGTGCTTCAGTAACTGCAAGGACAATTCAAAGACGGCTCAAAAAAGGGGGCTAAGGTCACGGCGCACCTTGCGCCGACTAACATTTACTTCTGTACAGCGTCAAGCCCGTTTGCAGTGGTGTCGGGCTCATTCGCACTGGAATGTCACTGACTAGAGTAGAATAGTCTTCAGTGATGAGTCCCGCTTTAAACTGAGCCCCGATGACCAGCGCGGCGAGTCTGGAGACGCCCCGGACAGTGGTGTGATAACAACCTGACTGTCTTCCGGCAGACAGGCCGACATCCAGGAGTGATGGTCTAGAGTGCCATTTCATTTCATAGTAGGACCCCTTGGTTGTCATCCGTTGCAACCTTACAGCACAGCGGTACGTCGACGAAGTTCTAAGGCCCGTTATGTTGCCCTTCATGTCACGCCACCCTGGGCTTACATTTCAGCAAGATAATGTCCGCTTCCACACTGCACACGTTTCTACTGCTTAGTGCTTGCTGAACATTACCTTGGCCAGCAAGGTCGCCGTACCTCTCTCCTATTGAGTACGTTTGGAGCATTATGGACAGCGCCCTCCAACCAGCTCGGGATGTTGACGATCTAACGCGCCAGTTGGACAGATTTTGGCACGATATCACTCAGAAGGACATCCGCAACCTCTATCAATCGATGCCAAGCCAAATAACTGCTTGCATATGGGCCAGAGGTGGACAAACGCGTTAGTGACATTTTCACTTTGTGAAGCTTTATCACTTCAATAAATCATCCAATTTTTCTCAAACTGTAATCTTTTTTTTTTTTTTTTTTTTTTTTTTTGTACATGTACATCATTTCTACCGATTTTCGTCCCATTCGGATAAATACTTCTTGGCGAGTCGTTTTTCTTTTGTCCAAGAGTGTATAATGAAAACCTTCTTTTTGAATAACAGATGTGTCGATTACAAACCGCCGATTTTGTATTCATTCAGTTTTGACTACCGTCCAGATAACAGCATCAGATCATTGCTGAAACCTTGCTTATGAAGGAAATAGTAATATATTTAAGATGCATTTTCAAAGGAGAAGCATGCTCCGTTTCCCAGTACCCACCTGAGGAATATGCTAAACATGCACACACAAAATATCTGACAACAACAGTGGGATGAAGGGACAACGGATCGTCACACATCCGAATTCTTTCCAAAAATCGACAACAAACAGAAGTGCACGAGGTTTTCTAACACAATATTTGTCAGGTCATTGTCCATTCCCGGATGCATATTTCACAAGTGCACATCTGTATAACCACCGAGGGAGTGGCTTCTTGGATTGACCAATGAGCATCCAGTAATATTTATGTCATGTCACATGACCTTTCGCGCACTTTAAGATTTAAGCAAGATAGTGGAAAACATTTTTACACGCAATTTTCTGTGCAAATTTCTGTACATCGTCTATTTCTTCTGAAAATTTTCATTGTGAAGTTAGATCAAATATAAGCAATTATGAAGATTTCACTACCTGGTTGAAAGAATTTGAAATAAATACAAACACATGTTGGATACTCCACAAAATATTCATGCAAAATGCTACTTAATAAGTGATAAATAAGACGAAAGAAATATGTGATACACATCTGAGGCCCAAATGCTATCTTTACATAAAACTATGCGTATGAGAAAAATATTTACACCAGTTACATATGTAAATAGAAGTCAGCACTTTTTATTGCAATCTGTATGAAAACGATGTTCTATAATAATAGCCAATGCAGAATTTAATTCAAAGTGAACTTCACTGATTTGCATTCGTAATTCACTAATTTGCATTCAGTGTGCTAAATTTCACACTTAATAACTGCTCGCTCTTAAATATACTGTCTTCACAAGAAATACTTATCAAACAGCATGAATTTATTTATTCACAACGAATATATTCAGTTTATTCATATATAATTTTTAATGTTAACAATATGTTAACAATGGATATAATCAGATCATACACAATATGTATTCTGAATATTACACTTTCAAAATCAAAAGAATGCAAGCAGTGAAATAAGAAAACACTAGATTCATTGTAACACTTCCAGTCCTTCTCAACTCAATAAAAAATAAAACAAAAAACTATACATGTGAATTCTCTTAATGCACATTTGTTAGTAAATGTATAATATTCGAGGCTACTTGTAGCTTGAGTCATTTTTTCGGTGTAAAGAGCGATAATATGCCATGAATATCAATCCAAATATCTATGCGTGATAAAAATCGTGAAAGTGAAATGTCAGCGTTTAATTAAACTCATAAAATGAAAGCACTACGAGATTTCCTACTTTTACGCTATACATTTATAACTGCGAAACTAATGCAAATTAAAATGTAAGCAACATACTCTCACACGCACGAAGATTTACCATCACAAGAGCAAAAGAAGCTCATTAGTTCATTTTCGAAACCCCTCCCTCAGTGGCTAAGCTGATGTGCACCTGTGAAATATGCTTCCCGGATTGCTTCTGCAAAAGGACCCTGGCAGATAACGAAAATATGTTCTTTCCGAGAATTAGATGAAGCGGACTATTATGTTTTCAAATGTCCGTTCACAAAAGAACTCTACTTAAAAGAACCTTCCAACACTGACATTTAATACTAACACAACGACACATCCTGATGAAAACTTTTTTAAAATATGGAAGAACTGAACTATTACGAGCTCAGACTCTGCTAGGCAGAATAACCCAAGACAGGCCGAACGTAATCAGTAAAACAAAAGAATGCTTCCGCAAAGAACTCTAATGCACAAAATCTATAACTGATATAACTACATACAGATTTATGCATACTTTGATCAGCAACAAATGCACGTGTGCTCCAGAAAAACCCGAAAAATGCAAATATAAATATACGTAACAAAATGAATTTATGTTGAAATAACAAAAGTAATATATACATCCACACTTTACTGAACAAAACTGAACACTTTACTTTACTGAACACTTTACTGTGTAACTGTACGATTCAGAAACACAAGAAATTGTCTAGATGAACATGTACTACGGAACACATCGTCTAGCAGAACCCAATAATGATATAACAGATATGGAACTACTTGGTTAAAGAGAATAACGCAAAGTCAACGGGATCGGTGAAGTATATAGCCTTCAAATAATACTAACA